AGAGGAGTTGATGAAAGTTAGGACACGGGATGTCACTAAAGTCATTTGCACATGGTCTACAACTGCAGAGGTCCCCAAACTCGGTTGCTGCACGAACCTTTTTTGGGGCGGGATAATATTTACACAGACTGGCCATCGTATTTGTCATGGGGCACAACAACTGGGAGACATTTTTAAAGTAAAGCTTCTTTAAAAATGATAATTGTTAAAATGAAAGATAGGAAAAAAAAAAAAACATTTGAGATATTTCTGTGCAGCTAGAAACCAAACAGCTCATGGCCTGTGCCAGTCAATGGTTCATGGTTGGTGACCTCTGTGCTACCACTTCAGTCTTGTGTTAATACAGCAGCAGTGATAACATACAAAATACAATAAGTGATAAGTCAGGCGTTCATTGACCGACCATGCCAAAAAGTGTCATGCAGGTTATTTATTTAGGACTGTAAAGCTTGATGTTCCAGTTTAAACATAACTACTGACAAAACTAGTTAGTTAAATGTTAGACAGGATAAATTCTATCGTTTGACGAACAGTTAATTGGAAAAAAAAGAAGCTTTGAAACGTGCAAAAAAAAATGCTGAGAAACTCAAGAGAATCTTGCACAAACGATTCAGCTCAAAACAAACAAAATGGTAGCTTTTAAGATTTTTTTTTAAATAAATGAAAGGTTTTTGGGAAACAAATAACTAAATAATTCATTTTTGCAACTGTACAACTCTTATTTTTTTTGACAAACCAAAAACATATTCTCTTTAAACTACTTGTAGCTGAAGTCAGCACACAGACTCCTAAAACACTTACAAGACTCGATTTGAATCTGGCAGCATCCTAAATGAATGGGAACTATGAAAAGGGAGAATAAGACAGAATAAATGGGAGAAAGTCGAAGAGTGAACAGGAGTTTTTTTTTTTAACATTTGTTGGAAGTGAACAGAAAAACATGAGTAAAACAAATGATGTTGGGAAAGATAAAGCAGACGCTGAGAAAGAACAGCTAAACATTGAAGTGAGAAGGATTATATTTATCTGCATCTGATGGCAGGTGGGTGAGTGGCCCAGTGAAAGAGTCATTTAGAATCACAGAGGTTGCATGAAACACAGACAAGACCGTCCAGGTTTCCTTAGCAAAGAAAGAAAAGTCCAGGAACATTTAATCTGTTTTCTACACTGTCACCGATGTTGAAAATCAACAGACTCTGCTTCTTCCTGCCCTGTAAAAAAGGGAAGGCACAATCTTTTTTTCACTGACACACGGTGTTCGGTCGAGGATCTACATTACAAATTGAAACGTGGAAGCCAAAAACCTTTAGTACAATAACAGATTTTTCTTTAAGGGTCTAGTAAAGTCATACAAGTTAGATCTCTTTTTTGGTTACAACTGTTGAAGTTTTCAAAATGTGTCCTTTAGTACAATAACAGATTTTTCTTTTAGGGTCTAATGAAGTCATACAAGTTAGATTTCGTTTTTTGGTTACAACTGTTGAAGTTCTCAAAAGTCTTTCTATGTGCTGATTGCACTTTAAACAAGACAAGGATGTTGCTGTTAATGTAACATGGCTGCCATTTTGGACAAGAAAAATTAAGCTAACTTAGCTAACTAAGGACAACAAGCTAATGATCAATACTAAAGAGTTCTGCTCAGTGGATTAGTGTGGATCAATAAAACGTTTTCATGTCCGATACCGATACTGCAACTTGAAGTATCTGCTGATATCAATATCAATCCAATGACTTCTTTTCTCTCCCCTATAGTTGTTTTCTTTTGATGTGTGATCCTGAAATTCTAAACAATATCAGACTGATACCCATCCTACACCGAGTATCGGATCGAGCCATCCCATAAAAATAATTCAAAAATTGCAGTCAAGACATTATATTTCATAGAACTAAAGGATACTACGGTTATTCAAAAGCTCTTGTGTACAGCGATGTAAACTGTAATGTAAATATACTTTAGTTGTTTTAAGTAATCAAATAATTCTTGTAATCAAATGAGCCTTTGATGTAGTGAAAAAACATCAATACATATTTTTATGACATCTGTGAAATTGTTTACCTCTAAACAAGCTGGATGGATTTTGGTTTCACGGGGGATCTGTATAGTGCAGTCAGTGATAAATGGTGCAAACACTAAACTTGATAGGAAAAAAAATAGTGTACTACAATATTTTCACGGGGTTGTGTAGCTAGCTGTGTGTCACTTGATAAAGTGCTGGGGCCTTCAAAGCTTAGTCACAACTTGAACAACGTCTCCCACATGTTGCAAAGAGCCAGACATCATCCTTCACTTTACTTCGTTCATGACCCCGTGACAGAAAACATTCTCATCGATCAGGTGTATGTTAACAGGACGCACAATTTCTCACAGACTCGCCGAGAGAGCTGCAGCTATTCACTGGCTGCTGCACAGTAGAATATATTGGTCTGTGGAATATATACAAGTTGAATAAAAAAAAGGGAAGCGGGGGGTAATTGTCCTACTCACTGGTTATGGCAACAGTCCCTGAAAGAGTTGCTTCTCGATGAGAAGGAAGGGCTGGTAGAGGCCTCGTCAGGATCCTCTGCCTCCAGGCTACGGTTACAAGACCTGAGGGGTGAAGACATATAAGTCAAAAGATTCTAAAGACTAAGTCTAAAGATTAGACATCTAACCCATAGGTGTCAAACTCAAGGCCCGGGGGCCAAATGTGGCCCACAGGATCTTAAAAAGCATTTAATAAAGTCCATGCAGCAGAGTTTATCAACCTATGAAATTAAAAGTTTTTTTTATTACACAGCAATGAACAGTATTTGTAGCTTGAATTAAATAATAATCAATTGCAGAAACATGTATTAGTCTGTTATGGAGGAGCTACATCTATACCAGTCTCTATTCTGTTTGTATCAAAATCTGAATGACTTTTATTTTAAAATATTGCCAGATTATCGTCAAATAAATAATTTTTTTGAATGAAGTAAATTAGAATTTTTTTTATTTTTTCACTGTGTCCCACTGCGGGCTGGTACCAAAGGACCTATGGACTGGTACTGGTCCGCGAACCGGGGGTTGGGGAGGCCTGATCTATACAGCGTACCGTTTAAAACCGGCCCTTCAACAGGAACTGTATTGCTGTTGTGGCCCCCCAGGTGAAAATGAGTTTGACACCCCTGATCTAATCTATAAAGACGGAGAGTCAATAAGTATGTTTACAGGCACATTTGACTAATTTTATTGACTTCAGTATGTCAGAGTCCACCCAAGTGGCTGGCAATATGAGGTGATGTTAATCAAAGAAACCTTCAAACAACATATACTTTATAACCACAAACAATAACTCTAGTAAATGGGGTACATTTTAATTGTTTTACAATTACATAATCGGCAAAACATGTCATATTATCTTATGTGTGTGTCAACTACTTGCTCCATGAGTCTTTACTTCTAAGACTGCCAAATCCAACTTCAACCTAATCTAACTAAAAATAATCTTAAACCAGTTCCCATTGCACAGTATGCATTCATTACAGCTAATGTTTATGCATTTAATAAAAATAATAATAATAATGATAAAAATAAAATAAAAATTCTTTAAAAAAAGTTTGCATTTAAACTTTAACCTAGAAGACTGCACAGTCAGGCGTTTACCAGGAAGAAGTAGTTTAAACAGAAACCACAACACAAAGACATGTGTCCTTATTGTTTACATAAGCTTTACAAGTCAGCCAAACTAATTACACCCCATCAGGTTAGGTTTAGCAAAGTGACAGAGTGTACCTGATGATCTGTAGGATGTTGCTGACAGTTGCTTCCTTTTCTGGGACGTGTAGACCGTTTGAACCCGACCGTGACACAAAGTTGTGCTGGCCGCTGTAGTCAGACACAAACTGGAGGAAGGAGGACGTGCTGGTGGTTACAGCTGAGGTCTGGTCAATGTGCATGTGTAGTTTTGTATGTGTTTGGCTCACCTCTACGGAGCCCTCTGCAGGGTCTGGAGATGGTTTGAGGCTAATGATGCTGGCTGTTCCATCTAGAGCGTCGCTCAGCTCCTTTAGGAAAACGCCACAAAATGGAACCACCTACAGTGTAGGGACAAAACTAGGACATTAATTTCCCGTAATTTAACAGTTTAATAGTAAAATCTGGAATGACAAGTATTGGAGTAATATTCGCATACTGAAAAGATTCAACAGGGTACTTTGAAGGACACTTCAAAAGGCTTCAATGAACCACCTACCTTGCATCCTGGGATATTCATCGCTCTGGTCAAAACTTTTTTGTATTCTGAAGAAGATTCATGTTGAGCCATGGCGTCCTTTAAGCTTCTCATGGTGTCAATGTCTGATTGGTCCATGAACTGCCACATCTTTAGCACCTTACGAGACCTAACAAACAAAGTAACCGTCACCGCTGATGAAACGTAGACCTAACAAACAAAGTAACCGTCACCACTGATGAAACGTAATTGTTAAAAAAAGAAAAGAAAAAAAGCTTCATAATCAGTGTGTATGTGTAGAACCTGAGTCCAGCCAGAAACTCCATCACACTGTTGTAGTTTCCCATGTTCCAGCAACATTTAGCTACGTGGACCAGGTAGGAGAAAACCTCTCTCTTCTCTTCCATGGAGCCTGCTGTGAGGACCAGCCATGTCACCCATGAACTTACCTGTTCAGACAGAAACGTACAGGAAGCTTTAACAAATAGTAACAAATAATTGCAAATTTTTGTTTTGAATACTTGTCTCGGTTATTCAGAAACTACCATCGGCAATACAATCAAGAGCAGGCTAGAAGTAATAATTAACAGGAGAACTGCTTAAACGCCATCTCCTATTGGCTGTGAGAATGCTTGAAAAGTACTGTAAGTTTAACTAAACACAACATTTATGAAATCAAGAAAACAACTTGAAAGATAATTTTGGTTTTAGACTGCATTCTTTTCAATACAGTATAATGTCTAATTGCTAATAATTGTTCTAATTAGAGCTATACAAACCAAAAAGCAACCAGGCTCTCTTCCAGACTTAAAAATAAAGTATCGACTATGTTACTTAGCTTAGCATTTGAGCATATTCTCTTACTGACAGAACCAATATTGTATTGGAGGAACAAAAGACTGCCGTCAATATGTGTGCGAACGACGGACACTGCCCAATGCCCAGTGAGTTTCAGCTGACACTCTCTGTTGTGTGTGGTCTTACTACCGCTCATGTCATCGCTTTTAGAGTCTGGTATGGCGACCTGTGTCTAAAGTTGTAATGTAATGCGCAGGGTGAACAAGAGTGTGGCAGCTGGCCACACACTGACTCATGCACACATTCTGAAGCGCACAATGATCAGATATCAGCTGCACACTCTCCACCCGGGCAGTATCATCCCAGTTACCGGTAGTTCACTTCGAACGACAACTTAAAGCGACAAGCAACACACCTACAGTATATAGAAAATCTCCGATCTGAATCTGGGAGAGAGAGGATGACGCACAGAGAGACACGGAAAACAGAGAGACACTCTTTAACCCCCTACAGACAGTAAAAGTCTTCCCTGTGTCCAGAGATCTATTACTGGGTTATGTAACAACGACTTGTAAAGTCCACCACAGTCTGACTTCCCAATGACACAAACAAAACACCAAACAGGTCCAGGTTTCAGTCACTGGTAACAAATAGATTTACATTGTGAACGAATGAAAAACATATAATTCAGTTAATTATACATTACACACTACGTGTGTGTATATTTATATATACATATACACTGTATACGTATTACGTATAGACATGTATACAGTACATATATACATAAATATATACATATATATACACATATACATATACATATATATTGTGCTCAGTAAGACTAGTCTGATGCATTTGACCAGAAGAAAAAGCCTGATGATAAGATACTTAAGTTCCCACAGTTTGAGCGAATATCATGTGTAGCAACCAATTTTTGAGCAACAATAAATGAATAAAGGTTGGAACTGTTGGATGGAGTCTGCGCCTCATTCTGCCCTATGCCTTAAAATGCATTGAAATGCTGAATTGTAGGGGCAGTGGTGGCTTGGCGGTTAAGGAAGCGGACTTGGATCCAGAAGGTTTCAGGTTCGAGTCCATCAGCTGCCAAGTTGCATGGCACCATCCCCACACACTTTGGTGATTGGTTAAAAGCAGAGGTCACAATTGGTCTGCTGTGCCATAATCACAAATAATTCACTTAAAATATGTACAGTATATGAATACTGAGCTTATAAAAGCAACAATGCTCAACATTTTGTTGTCATTCTTGATTTACTCCCTGTTTTTCCTGAGGAAACATTCATTTGTGTCACACTCACACCTAAATGAAGTCGTTTATATCTATCCCTTCCTCCCCATTTTAGCTTTTGTACAAGACTCGCAAACAAACTCCTATCCAGGTAGAACATACTGATCTCACGACACACTGCATGTATGACTCCACAGATACTACCTCATGCACGTAATACATACGTATACAATTCAACACACTGCACAAACAGACATTTTACATACTCATACTAACGTTTTTGTCAGACTCAAAAGTTGGATGTCAACATTTTACACTCACACGTGTTCATGAGTCACGGTTTGTTAAGTCTCGTGGTTTTTCTCAGCCAGTTTATGCATTCTTGTCTGATAGAAGCAGTGATGGCTGAGGGCTGCAAGCGTTGCTGTTTGAATGTAATCCATTCCAGACCCTTAATCTGTCTGCTCTAAAGTACTCTCTTCAACGCACCGTCTCTATTTACTCAGCCTTAGAATCAGTAAACATGCAGATGTACAGCTTTGTAACTGTAGGATTCCAAATTAGTAGCACAACCTACATAGCCTCAATTGGTAATACCATAATAATAGCCACCAATCATAAATGCAAATGTAATAAATATAGACACTTACATATAACAAACACACACATACACACACACACACATGCATATATATATGGACAACACTTACATATAACAAACACACACATATATACCCACACACATGCATATATATATGGACTATCTAAATTGATCATGAGTGTGAACACTTGTCTCTCTATGTGGTCCTATAGAGGAACTTAGGAAGTGATCAGTGTGCCCTGCCGTTTCCCAGTGACTGCTGGGATTGCCGAGATTGGCTCCAGCCATCCTCGTAACCCTCAAAGGATTAAGCTGTAGAAGATGAATGGATTTAATTGTCTCTAAAGGTCAAGAGCTGTGCTTTGAGGGCTCTAGTTAAATCATGTGATATAACCTTGAGACATAACCTTCAGCTACTCAACATTTTTCATTTTGAAAGGAAGTCAAATGTTGAAAAACAAACAAACAAACATTAAATATAATTTTTGTTTTGTCGAACAAAAAAATTATTTTCGACTGGGCATCAATGTTTAAAATAATACATACAATACAATACAAAGTAACTTACTATTAATTTCATCTACTACTCTGCTGTGGGTGACCACAATGGGAATGTTTGTGCGCGAAAACCTGCCTTCAGACACTTCCAGCATGACGACATAATGTGAAGCTAAGTCAACATCTGGGTTAAATTACTATCGCCATCTTAATCATTCTGACCATCTGCACTGTGGCATTTTGAGAGGTCACAGACAGTACATCTCTTCAGAGCGCTTATGCATAGTGTTTGACACAAGACATAAAAGAAAAGAAGAAAGTGAAGACAGTTGGGCAGAGAGCAGGTAAAAAAAAAAGAAATACAGGAAACAGCGAAGACATGACAGCCAAAACAAGGTAGACAAATATTGGAAACAGTGTGTTTAAACAACTGCCACCCCGACACAGCACTGGCATCGAGTTAAAAAAAAAAAAAAAAAAAAAGAAGAAAGTGAAGACAGTTGGGCAGAGAGCAGGTAAAAAAAAAGAAATACAGGAAACAGCCAAGACATGACAGCCAAAACAAGGTAGACAAATATTGGAAACAGTGTGTTTAAACAACTGCCACCCCGACACAGCACTGGCATCGAGTTAAAAAAAAAAAAAAAAAAAAAAATCAAGACCATGCACACACAAGCACTGTTACACAAGCACGTAGAACCGGAGCTGGGTACAAGTTGATCCCCCTTTAATGTTTGTCTCTGTGTCCATCTGTCCGTCAGTCTGCCTGTCTCCGACTGCCCGCCTGTTATTATTTGAACCGCGGGGGTCAGTTTCTCCTTGATACATGAATTACATAACTGTGGTTGACAGAGAACTATTACATACTGGACACATGAGCACACGCCGGTCCTATCACAGCTAAACACTGCAGACAGACACAGAGGGCTGCAAAGCCCCCGGCTTCCAAACTCTCACTTGCTGTGCTATCCTTTCTGCTGCGCCATTCTCTGCTCCCATACAAGGCTTGAAAATGAACAGGAAAAAAACAACAAAAAAAAACCACCAGGCAGGTTTTTGACACAGGTTTACAAAATTACAACTGCTGTGAAATATTAAAGAGCTAAAGCATAGTAAACGTATTTACCCTCTCAGTGAATCGGATCACGTCCACGATAATCGTCAACGACGATCACGATTATCATCAAAATGTTAAGACAAATGATCACGGATGTCAGTGATGACATTAAAAACAATCACTAATGTTATTTCTTTTTTGTTAAATGTGACAGAAAAATGGTTGGAATGCATTAAATAAGAGAAAACCTGGTCATGTCAAAGGCACGCAATTTAAAGGTGTCCGCATGTCCGACCACCCGTTCCCTAATTTTCTCACCAGTAAAGATGATTTATTTTTAAAGTCACTCAACATAAAGATGCATGACCAAGAGAGTAACTCTAGCCAGCTCACAGTCAGGAAAGTGTGTGCTTCTGTCAAAGGCTGACGGGCTCTTGTTTGCACAGCAAAAAATATAACATAATTTCTTTACTCTCTCCAATGATGTCATTTTACGGAAAACGGAGATAAGATATCAAAGCTCTCTTTCTTCCAGAAAAAAAAAATGTTTACACTATGTAATAACACAGATTTTCTTGTGACCTCATCACTTAATCTAGTATTTGGGTTTAGCCCAAATACTATGACCGCGCTTAACAATGATGATCAAGGCCTGCATTATGTAAAGCATGAAAAATGCCTGATCACGTAAAAAGGTCAATACTAAGGAGCAGAAAATTACAGCATGGAAATCTCAAAGTCAAACTTATCACTCCATTAAATAAAGTCAGCACCGGATTCAATGAATGTGAGGCAGCAATACACAAAACCAGGGCTATTTTACTGGTTTTAAAGCTGAGAGCAACCGCTCGGGGGATCACTTCATATAATGTATTACTTTGTCTGTTTCCCTTCCTTTTCACTGTGAAAGTAACAATATCCAACTCAAATGCATCAGTGGAAAAAAAAGTAAAAATAAAGAGACGGTTTTAAAAAACTATAAAATAAAAAAAAATGCCTCTGAGTTTGGAGAGAGTTCATACAAAACATGTAAGAAATGGATGGAAAAATATGTGCTAGGATGAATTATATATGGTTGGATGGATGGATGCTTGTCATTGTAAACAGAAATAGTAACCCCATTAAGGACAGAATTAAGCTGGCATACAGAGAACACTAGTTTGTTTTAAGCTCATTCACACACACACAAAGAAATAGCCGACACCTCACCTCATTGAATCTCATCACGAGATGCTCCACAGCATTACTGCGTTGGGTACTCTGTGTGGGCATGTTCGGTGCCGACAGTGAGGCCTTAAGATTTGGGTGGCGCTTGTTTTGACACTCGGGGCTGCCCAGGTCTCGGGTGAGGAAACAGAGGTAGTCCAAAGGAAAGACCTGCAGTCAGACAGGCGGACACGTACAGCACGGGGTTGAGTGGATTATATTGTTTGCATTGGGATGCAGTGTTGTGTAGGTGAGTTTGACACTGTACTATAAATAAAATGGATGCTGCTTCTCCTGCCATCCTGATATGAAATAAAACGAGGATGATTATTTTTTTTTATTGCATCAATAAAATTGCCACATGTTGTGGTTTTGTTGTCTGTCCATTTGTCTCAGTTGAGTATAATGTTTGTCGGTGCAGAACTCGGGGCCAATCTGATCTGTTATGATGACATACTTGTATTTGCAGTGACTTTTTTTGACAAGCGTCCGTACCTGTTGGTAGAGCTGCTGCTCTTGTTCGGTGAGGATACAAGCAATCTCCTCCGGGAACTGCACGAGGTGCCGCAGCTCCGCCAGCTCCTTACTGATCCCACTGACGTTAGGAGGAAGGGAACTGCTGCTGGTCATGGTGTTGGCAAGCTGACGCTCTGGTGGGGGCCGGGATGTGGGAGAGGTGGTGAATGTTCCATTAGCATTAGCATTTTCGTGAAGAGGGGAGAAACAATAAAAAGAGTTGAGAGGAATCATAATAATAATAGGAAACAAAGAAATCAACAATTTCATATCTAGAGTGTTTCTACCAAATTTTTCTTTTTTTTTTCCTTTTGGTTGACTCTTATTTAATATTACCAAAAGGTCTGATAGCTGCACACACAGCATGGCAGTTCCTGTGTTCACAGTCAGGAATCAGAGTCTCGTACTAAAATAACAAAGCTGTTCTTATTTCACATTTAAAGGACAGACTGTATTTTTCACACATATTACATTGTGCACATGTTGCGTTTAGCAGCGCCTGAGTAATTAAAGCTGTGGCTTGAGATGTGATTTAAACAGTTTTGAGTGCTGAAACTCAACTGCAGCTTGTACTCCGTGATTTATTGCAGAGGAAACTCAACTGCAGCTTGTACTCCGTGAGTTATTGGGCATAGGTGGCAGTACAAACTGGCACGCACGGGTTCCTACTGCCAGTTGTGCCGCGGGGTTCCATAACCATGTGACCTGTGGGTGAGTAACACCCTTTAGTCTGAAGATCAGGATGGTTAGGGGGATAAATGACATCACCAGAGAGCCTTGGTGTTACTGTGGGCAATGCAGCTACAGCTTTTTGTACATTTTTAGAACACTTTAAGTGTTATCACTATTTTTTCAAGACAAGTTAATTGAACATATTATTAAAGATTACTTGTACTGTATTCATATTTGTATTTCACGCATTTAGCTAAAAACAATGGCACACGTGTGGCTTAAAGTCATGTTGGATCTTGACTTGCGGTAATTGGTGGTTTACTGACAATTCCAGTGAAGCCAGTCACATCTTTTAAAATTATTTCTAAATAACTGAGACTAGATTTTAGGGTGCAGCTAGAACATGTTGCAAACTTTTCACTGAGGTACAGAATCAGCACGACAAAAAAAAAAAAAAATAAAAGCATGAAGCATCCTTTTAAATAAGACATTAACACGTTGGTTGTTTCAATTTAACAGTGACAACTTTAAGCCTGGGTGACTGGGATCCTTTTCGGGGATTAACCCGAGTGTCACATGTCTTGTGATCTATCAGACTGAGGCCACAGGAAGCCTGAGCACTTCACCCTATGATAGTAGAAAGCATTGATCACCTGCCAGGTCCTGTGTTTGGATTTCAGTCAGGTCCATTAGTCTGTCTGTTTACATACAGATACATATGCACGCACGTACGCACACACACACACATACAGTCCACTCCTAATGGATGACCGTCACACGCAAAGTTGCAACAGAACGCATTGCCGGGGTGACATCTGGGACCAGAGGGGCACTACCAGGAATCATTTAAGGAATTTCACCTGCATTCAGCTGCAGTTAAACACAGATCCCAATATAGTCACTGGGATCAGGTTTCTCATCTGAACAGAACTCTGCTCCTGACACTGAGATTGTCAGGCCTCGGCTTTGCACGGTAGAATGTCACTGATTGTTCAGGACACAAGTACACAGGCCATATGCAGACAAAAGCCAGCAGGACTCTGGCATCACTCTGACTGTGGTAAAGGAAGTCATGGGATTTCATGATGTGTGTGAAGTGTTACATCACAGTTATGACATCCTTTTTTTTTTTTTAATGTACAAATAAACAGTTTTCATTTGAGCCACCTGTAAAATCAGTTTATCTTTAAATCATTTTAATGTACATTAAACAGGGAGTCTGTCTTAGAACTGGAGTTCCGGAGCAAAATAACTTCATTTTCTAGTTACCATGCGAACTAGTTAGCAAGTTGCTAAGTTTACACACCAAACGTTGGAATCACAGAACAAGACGTAAGCCCAAAACGACACCAAAGAAGAAGAACGATACCAAGAAATGTTTCTCTAAAGTACCAATAAGGTACATATATTGTGCCAAATTAGCGCATGTGTTCATATATATTTGTGCAAACGACACAATGTTTCCCCTGATAATTCCTGCGATCAGGCTGCAGGATGACATGTCAACAGAACCGTGACTTGTTAGTTCAAACAAAACTGAACACAGTGTGACGCCTGCTTAAATATCGGAACCAAGACAAATGCAGACGTGCGAGATAGTCAGACATAGGAACAAGAGGACATCATGAAGAAAATGTATTCCTTTTAAACAACTGATAAAAAAAAGGAGAGGGCAAATAAAAGATAGAGCAGAGGGGAGTACAGGCAGGAAGCGGGTCGCACGACAGGAGCATTTTACAGTTTACATTGCTGCGGCTGAGCTATTTGTCAGAGTTAGAGAGGAGACAGGTTAATCCACTAATTTTTTTAATGTCTTCCAAATGAGCAGAGTGCAGTGTTAGAGCGCACCCTCGCATTAGGTCGGAATCAGATTACAAAACCACACTCCCTGTGAAAAAAAATGCTATTCACACTGAGAAAATATGAACCTTAATACTGTATGTCCTGCATTAAAAAAGAAGTGGCCCTTCTTTGGAGAACATGACGATGTCCAACTCTGACAATGAAATGCGGTCATTTTTCTTTTTTTAATATCGGACCCATGCACTCTCAAAACACATAACCTTTCATCCTTTCAGCCTATGAGTAGTATGCTAATACGCTCCCCTCATCTTAACCTCATACAACTGTTTTCACAAGCTCCTCTTTTGAAGTGGAAATGGCGACATCTTCAATCAGTCCTATGAATTTCATGAGCGCGTCGAGGCTCCAGCGTCATTCACGGGTCTATTAGACTGGCTCCACACACAAAGGTGCCAGCCAAGGCCCTGACCAAAGGCTGTTAACAGACACTGGAGAGTTCATTTAAAGGCAAATGCGTGCAGGGAAGGAAAACAAAAGCCCCGTCTCCATGAGACCCCCGCCACTTTTTTGTCATTGTAAATATTAATATTTTACCATTGCTTTTAACCTGTTTACTAATTTTCCTCTGTGCCGCTGTTTACGCCGTCCTCCGTTTTGTGTCAAACAGTAAATCATAAATGAGAAATTAAGATGAAAAATGCATGAGACAAACCATTGAGACAAACCATTTTAACATGCACTAAAAATATGGAATTGAAAAACAATAGAGATGGGCTATGTCGTTTTTTTTAAGATTGCAAATATATTGTTTGATCCTGGACATATGCACCCATGCCTATTTTGGTTAATTTAGTTGATGATTGAAAATTGCTGAATTTCAAGCAATTTCTGCTAAGTTTGACACTAAACACACTCTTCAGTTTAACACTAGTGGGCTGCAGATACGAGTGTATCTGACAGAATCAGCCACGGCATCGGAGACAAAAGAAACGATCTGCTACTGCTGCTGCACTGGCAGTGAGAGCACATGAACATGGACAGACTGACCATGATGTCCCAGCGTGTTTTTTTTTATTCACAAGTTTAATTAATTGTAATTCATGTTGATGAATGCATACATCTTGTGTTAGCTCATGTCTATGTGTCTAGTGCTGAAAAGGAGAGAAGACTGGGAGAGAACCAGGAATCCCTGCGCAAAATTACAAGCATGAAAAAGATTTTTTTTTCTTATTTAAGAAATTTTCAAGAGAAAATAAATAGACAGAACTTAAAAGATGGGAGAGAACCAGGAATCCCTGCGCAATTACAAACATGAAAAAGATTTTTTTTTTCTTATTTAAGAAATAATTTTCAAGAGAAAACAAATAGTCAGAACTTAAAAGAAAAAAAATCAGTATTTTTGATAGCTTAAGATGAAAGAAAAAGCGAGTTGCTCATTTACTGCTGTTTGAATGTCAACTAGATTGTAATTAATTTTTAGTAAGGTCTTTGGTTTGATGTCAGATTGGAGGGCAAACATAATGTCCTTAAAAGGAAAGGAAAAAGGAAAGATACTCAGTAGTTCATGTGTGATGTCTGATCTCGTATGATTTGGATCATTGGTTTAAGGTCAACCTTAAAGTACTGTGTGTGGACTCCAATACAATCCTATAATTAGCAGACATTGTGACTACACTAACACTCACTGAAGTATTTTTATTTTTTTCCAAATACAATGGTGTCGTGTACCGTATTTCATGGAAAAGAAGGGCAGCATGTTGTTGTCCGGCAGTGCGATAATGTGCTGGTAATACCAGCAGTCATGCACAGGACACCAGGTTTCTGACACCTTTCCACTGCAGCACAGCAGAAGAAATGTGCCCGACTCATTTTTACAGCCAACAGATTTAAAACACACACACACAAAAAAAAAAAAACAAGTTTCTTTATATTCATTCCACCAAAACCATTTAACCAACCAGACGCACGACACCGCCAGCTTCTCTTTGCACAACGTTCGTTTCTGTTTCCTGACTCGATCAGTTACTCAAGCAGAGAGACCTTGAACGCAGGCCTGCTGTCCTTCTTTTACAGCTGAGTGAAGGCAGCACATTTGTGCAGTGATTTCACAGGCATGTTTAGAGTCGTTGACAACTTCCCTTCAGGATGTAGGATGCATGCAAGGCACTTAAACAGGTGCAGCAATAACAATGCAAGTAGAGGACTGTAATGTGAACCTGAACACTGTACGACGCATTAAGCCGATTGAAAGAACAATTTAGAGGTAATTGTTTAGACGTTTCTGAAAATCTGCTTCCAGTGATGGTAATTGAGGTATTTAATTCTTTTAAATCCAAAAAAGCTCACAGTTGTTTGCTGGTCAAAGGTCAACTAACTTTTTTTTATCTGATTTTACCCTCTTCTGTGTGTTGAATAATGTCTTTGTTGCTTTTAAATTGTCCACTTTTTTTCCTCTCCTGTCACACAATTGTATAAGCTCAGCTATCCCTGGACCATGTTCCTGTTTACTCTTGCCCATTCTGGCCATTCTGATTAAAAATATCAGCAGAAAAAGCTCAACTTCCTGTCACAATATCACTATCATAGCATTTCTCTCTGCCTTAGGGTAAACTATTCTTATACTGACTGGAGTAATGATGGAAAAGAACATCGCATTTGT